AGTATACGAGTACATTCTCAGGTGGTAGCGTAAGTATCGTATTACTAAGGCTAGTTGTTGCTTTGTTTTGCTTAATAACTTCATCACAAAGCGATGAGTTCGATGTTTCCATATAAAATATTCGTAAATAGGAAATTCTTGGCCTTTAGCGACTTTCATAGAATTTTCCATTTAAAAGAAAGACGCTTTTGTGTACATTTTACATTTCTTTTACTATCAAATATATGTGAACCATAAAGTAAATCTTGTGTAGGTACTGCATTTTTTACATATTATACAGGGTTATTTTTCAAAGAGTACCTAACCAAATTTTAAGCTTAAATTCAAATATATAAATATTGATATATCGTTATTACAGTTTTTGAAAATACGAGTAAATAAGGCTTCTACTTTTATTTGAAATCATCCCAAATTGAATGTGATTTACGCTTTTGCCTACCGATTGACCCTTACGGATGTATGCGTGCGCATGCGCAGTAAAATCAGTTAAAATAATGTATTACCACGCATTTTGAATTTAAAAGATAAAAAGGACAGAATTATTGAGATTTATTTAAATAAATTTTTCTTCACCATTTGCCTATATTACTTATTCTGAACCTTCTCTGCAAATTGACCGGTTATTGCAAAATAACCCTGTAAAGCCAATCGATTAAGTACTGACAGCTAGAAAAATTATTTTATGACGTTTTAAGAATAATTTCATTAAACCGATATTTATAGAGCAAGATAAGAACTCGGCTTATAATTTATAGGTCAATGCTTATGATGCATAATTTGTGTGCAACCCGTTTGACCCCATGCTGATTTTTTAAAGAATAAAGTGAAACATACGAGCACACGAATCACCTGACGGTAAGTGGATGATAAGGTCCATAAACGCCTTGATCAAGAATCAAAATGTAGATGAGTTGCAGTTCACATGAATACTAAAATTAATTGTCTATACACTAACACTAACCGTACGAAACACAGCAAAATTATACGGCTATTTTACGTTAGTATTCTGTGAAAGCGTGGTCCTTTTGATGCCGATAATAAAGCTGGATAGTAAAGCTGCAGCGTGGCTAAAGCATGGCTTTACCACGTAAAAAATTCATAGTGAACAACGTGAACACGCGGTAAACGAAAACGTCGTGAGAAATCTGTATGCTTAATGAATTAAAAATACAAGACATCAAAGATATGTTCAAACCAACGACACACATTTTTTAAGCGCGGCGAACGATATTCTATTCTAATGTGGAATATTGTGTGAAACTATTGTAACGTCTACTCTTCTCTAAATCATAGATCTACATTAGAACTAGAGTAACTGACATAGCTCGAGGATACAGTAAGCTGAAGTTACAATAGGCCGACCATATAGCAGAAATGCTAACCCCGTAAATACAACGACAATGTACGGCGGATTTCTTGATGTGACGAATTGGTAAGACGTGCAAGCTATCAATGGTACGTGGTTCAGGATGGTGCTTGGTAGCAATCTTTGAGGAACGTTTTTTTATATTATAAGGATGACAAACTGGCACATAGTCCACCTGATGGTAAGAGGTTGCTGTGGCGCATAGACATCTACATCCATCCTCAATTAAGAATCAAAATGCAGATGCGTTGTCACCCGTGAGAACTAAGACAAAACGCCTCGTTTCTAGTAAAAGGGGTCTCAGGTTCTCTCCACTCACCGTACGAAATACAGCACCGTTAAGCTGCTGTTTTACGCTGGTATTCTGTGAGCGTAGTCCTTCCCCGGACGAGCCGACCCATTTGTGCTACAACTATACTCCTGATATAGCTGCAGCACTTCACTTGTGAAGGACCATGATAATGATAATAATGATGAAATTATAACAAACTTACGTATACAAATTTATTTGCATTAAATCCAAGAAAAAGGTAAGGGTAAGCAAACATGAAAGTGCAATAATAAATAACAAATTATAATACGTTTTCGTCATGTCGATGTTATGAAAGTGTTACTATGAAAAGTTTATCACCAGTTCGATTCGAAACACACACACACGATAAAATAAATTTCTTTGGCTAATAAACTTAGGAATGTGTTAACATATACATTTACACAGTGTTTTTATATAGTGAACTGCCGAGTGCATAATATAATAACTCTTACGTTAGCAAAGTTGCAGTTACCGCAAGCGACATACTTTTTTTAGCACGGGTGACACAAATCAATTAATTTTACCTTGGTATTATCGGATTTCTTTGCTTGTTATCGTGTGGGTGAGCACGGTAAGTTTTTTTTTACAAGTAGGTGTGACAAACGAGTACGTAGTCCACTTGATAATAAGTAGATATTATGGCTTAAAGACACCTATATCTATCCTTGATTAATAATCAAGGATAGATATCAAAATGTAGATACGTCGTCACCTCTTCGAAGTAGACGGAATGTCTTTTAAAATGTAAAAAGGGTGTGGTTGTGGTTGCTCACAATACGAAATTAAATACAGCACCATAATGCTGCCATTTTACGTTGGTTATTCTAAACACGAGTGGACCTTTAACGCTTCAGTAAACCCATTTGTACTGCAACCCACAGCCACGATAAAGCAGCAGTATTTCTGTAGCATGTAAAAAATATTATGTTATATTTTAGTTTAAAATTCCCGCGTAGTGATGGCGTAACAGAATTTACTTGGGTGCCGTAAGAGGCGACAGAGTAACATTTAAATAAGAGATCACAGCAGCATCTTACTGTAAATTCTCGATAGCAATAATATTAAAGGAAACGCTGTAATGATCGAAAGAAAAATTAGTTTAATTTTTTTTTATAGAATAAGGGTGACAAACGAGCACACAGTCCACCTGATGGTAAGTGGATGCTGTGGCCCATAGACATCTACATCTATCCTCAATAAAGACTCAAGATGCAGATGCGTTGTCACCCGTGAGGACTAAGATGGAATGCCTCTTTGCCAGTAAAAAGGGTCTCCGGTTCTCTACACTCACCATACGAAACACAGCAGCGTTAAGCTGCTATTTTACGCTTGGTTTTCTGTGAGAGCGTGGTCCTTCCCCGGTCGAGTCGACCCATTCGTGCTACAACTATACTACTAATATAGCTGCAGCATGGCTCTACCATGTAATACGTACGTACGATTACTTTCCTCTTTTAATCTGTTATAAAGTTGTTTTTATTTATTATTAATCCCATTTAAAACATAAATGTGATTAGGGAGCCAATTTCGGTACAAACGAACTTATAGGTTGTGGGCATCGGATTTGAATCGATTAAAATAGTTTAGATCTGGATCTAGATTGGCTATGTCACAATAATGTTTTTGTTAAGACCATTATTTTGGAAAGAAAACACCTTTAAAGTTTTATTTTTACGTTTACGACTCATTGTTTTTTATGAGAATTAACGTACTTGAAATTTACTTACCGCACCAATAACTTTATTAACACCTGGTTAACACCGAGTATGGCCGATCTTGGTCCTTCACTGCTGGCCGTATGAGGAAGCTCAAGGTCGCTCAGCGAGCTATGGAGAGGGCTATGCTCGGAGTTTCTCTGCGTGATAAACTTAGGAATGAGGATATCCGCAGTAGAACCAGAGTGACCGACATAGCCCAACGGATTAGTAGGCTGAAGTGGCAGTGGGCCGGCCATATAGCTCGAAGAACCGACAACCGATGGGGAAGAAAGGTTCTCGAGTGGCAGCCTCGTACCGGTAGGCGAAGTGTAGGGCGTCCCCCCACGAGATGGAGTGACGACCTGGTAAGACATGCAGGAAGTCGATGGATGCAGGTGGCTCAGGACCGTGTTTTGTGGCATTCTTTGGGGGAGGCCTATGTTCAGCAGTGGACTTGTGAAGGGCTGTAATGATGATGATGATGGCCGATCTATGTAAATTATTTTCAGATTTATCCTTTATATGCGCTTGATGTCAAATATCAAGTTTCTAATTCAACTAGAAGTGGCATAGGTCTTTAATGTGCGAGTCCGTGAATCAGTGTCAGTAAAGTCAGAGAATGAGTGATAAAAATGGCGAATTTAGTAGCTCAATTATAACCGAGCTCAAGAGCTTTAATAGGTTACTCGTTTATTTGTGAAATTTGGGAGTTTATGTATCAAGGGATCCTTATTAGGTATGCAAATATAATAATGACAAGTTATTAGGTACTTTTGAGTTACGGGGGGTTCGGGAGACGCTCGAAATTGTTCGTGTAAATATTAAAGTATTCAAGCATTTATTTACTTCTAAACTCCTAAGTGTAAAATAAGGTCTTAATATTTATTATAAATGGTATTTATCACCCTGCCACACACTGCCTGTGCGGCGAGCTTTTCTGTCTGTCCACGTACAAGATCAACATGTAATCACTCCCAAAACGTATTGGTTGTACACTCTTGTTTATAAGATTTAAGGAAACGTGACGAGAAGATGTGCTGCTATCTCCCGAACGCTCCCCAGCTGAGTTGAAACTGATGATTATACCTTTAGACCGAAGTTGGACAAAATTTGCTGACTAGCAATTTTGCAATTTTGGCAAATTTTGTCCTATTTTAATGGATATGGTGGTTCAAGACCGTATCTTGTGGCATTCTTTGGCAAAGATCTATTTTCAGCAGTGGTCTGTAATGTGAAGGGCTGTAATAATGATGATGATGATGATGATGATAATGATTATACGTACTCGTCAGTTCTAGTTATACATTAAACTGTAAAATTTTAATAAAAATATCGTATGCATTAAATATAATTACTGTTTAATTTGTAATACAATAACTTATAAATCGTGATAGACATCCATTAACTAATGTATCCCCCATCGTCTGAACATGCGGGCATAGTGGGGTCAATACAAGGAAATTCATAATGTGCAACAACATGTATTCATATATTTTGAATAGCACTACAATTTATCGTAATCTATTTACACCTATCAAAATTACTCTGATTCCGATGTTTTAGGGGATTACTTAATAAACAAAAAGAGTAATGTAGATATGAATTCAAACAAAATTATACTCACCAGTTCGGTAACCAGCATTGGACAAGTATGTGGCAAAAGTGTTGGTCTCGTGGGTAGCCTGCCACATTGGCGAAGAGCAGTTGTCATTATTTGTATACACGTTGTGATTATGTATGTAGACACCCGTTAACAAGGAACTCCTACGAACATAAAAATTTTATTTTTATAGAATGGGGTGACAAACGAGCACACAGTCCACCTGATGGTAAGTGGATGCTGTGGCTTATATCTATATTTATCTTCGATTAAGAATCAAAATGCAGTTGTTGCCTTTGGAGACTACGATGGAATGCCTCCTTTCCAACCAAAAGGGTCTCCGGTTCTCTACACTCACCATACGAAACACAGGAGCGTTAATCTGCTATTTTACGCTGGTATTTTGTGAGAGCGTGGTCCTTCCCCGGTCGAACCGACCTATTCGTGCTACAACCATAATATAGCTGCCGCGCGCGTGGCTCTACTAGGTCAGTATAAAAATATATCAAAAATCATGTGTAATTAATAATTCAATAATCATAACATTTTTACAGTCTACGACCCACCGCTGTGCACAGGTCTTCTATTGTTTTTGAAAGGGTGAAATATTTTTTTTATTCAGAAATAATAATAAATAATTTAATGTATAAGAAGATGTCGATATACCTTGATGGACAGCACATAGGTGTTGTCGTGTAAGCATGTCGAAATTCTGCGCCAGCACTTCTTATAGCCTTCATGGTTCGCGGCATGAAGTTCAAACTTCCCAATTCAACATCCTGATCATCGGTCAATATCAAAATTATATTTGGTTTTTTCTCCCTCGGCTGGGGATACGGAATATAGCCATTGTTTTGCCATTTATTTGCCATTTTTACCTTCATCCTTGTTGTATTTTCTCTTAGCGGTACAGTATGAGATCTCACTGGTGCTTTACTTTGATTGACTATCTTTCTCCTCTCTGAAGAATTTTTTTCCAAATTACTTCTGTTCCAATTTTTATCTGTCCTGCGAAATTTTTCATTGCTTCTTAAGCTGAAAGGGTCGGTTCTGTTAAAATTGTGTTCTTCAGAAGAATGTCCATCTGATCCTTTTCTTCTATCACGCCTGATCTCATGTTCACGCTCCCAAAATCTACGTCTGTCGCCACGATACCTGGAACTATTTCTGTGTCTTAAGTATCGCCTTTCTGGTAAATCTGTTAAGGTTCCATTGAAGGTTGTTCTATTACGATTGTTTTCTTTGTTTCTCAGTTCTTTCGCTCTTACTGCATCATCAGTTTCAAACGAGTCTCGTTTCGCCGATACAAGTAGAAAGTTCCAAGTCAGAATAAACGGTATGATCTTTAAGTTCATGGTTATAAGTTAGTCTATGTTATCACTAACTTTTTGTATTAACTTTAGTTAAATACTTTAGCTTAAACACAGAATTTTATGTCGTATCTGTTTCTAATAGCAACAACATCTTCTCAAACGCCATCTTGTATTTTCACCTGAAACAAAACAATTATCTTAAATTAAAAAAAAAAGTTATGTACAATACACTGCCAAACTTGAAGTCGGCTTGAATAAATGTTTAACCAGTAAAAACAATTTGCTCGTTTAAATCTTACTTTAATAGCACTTTAATTTTTTTTTAATATAATTTACACCAACATTAAATGTAACTAGTAATATGAAATTGACGGATAAAGCCATAGTTTAAATTATTTACAGCTGAGTGTTTTCATCCAAGTTGCATAAATAATCATTTCTCCATACCATTCCGTAATTATCGTAAAAGGTTACAGAGGAAAGCAAATCAGGAGATGGACAGCACTGTCTTCCTAATTATAACTAGAAAAAAGAAACTGCGATCGCCAATAACTATGTCAAATATCCCCCCCATGAGAGCAATCTAAGGGGAGGTCGATGTTTAGCAGTGGACTTTGATAGGCTGCGATGAATGAATCCCAATTTTATAATAAATTAAAATTAACTAAGTTGAAATTAGTTGCAATAAATCTAAAAGATTTGCAACTAATGAAAGTTTTCAAATTATAACAAAACAAAATTGCGTGTTCATTTTGAAATACCGCAAACAATTAAATCTTAAGAGCACTTTAGCCATAAATTTCCCTAATTGTATTTAAGGCTGTCATTAAAATTTGTGTAACGGAAACGCTTTCAAAAACTTTTTGTTACCTTCTGTAGCATTAAATGGTTTACCAATATAAGGACATAATGAAAGCACGTCTTGAAACATATGTGAAGTTGAAACAGTGATGAAAGATTAAAGGAATCTTTTGTTATGGAAGAACTTAACTACTTTGCTGACGTAGAAGCCGCAACCGGCTTGGTTAATTATAGATTTGTTTACGTCGATATGGTTTATGTTCGAATATTCCGAGTTTGTGTGTGTTCAACTATAAATAATAATATTCAATATAAACCACAGCTTAAAAACAGGTCTGTTACCATCGGAAATCGGAATCAGGTTCTTATTTCACACTTACAACCACAATGTAACTTGAAACCACAGTACATGCCTGTCAGAAAAAAAGGTATCCTACAATTGACAGTGCCAAGATTACTATCAATCGTTAACCTCTACAAGGTAATCTAGAATCTAGAAGGTAATAAGGTCTTTGTCGTCTTGACCTTATTACTTTCTAGATGTTAACTTAAATTACACTAAAATTATATTAAACATTCTTTCTGTAATATTACAAGTAAAAATATAATAATAAAAGTACCTAGGTGTTTTAATATTTATGTTATTAATCTAGGTTTTTACACGCGGCTTCACCCACGTGGTCTTCAATTTAGAAACATCATTAATTGCTATTCCGTGCCAAATTTAGCAAAATTCGATCACTTTTAGAGTCACGTCGGTGTCAGTATCTCTATGTCAGTTTGTCAAAAAATTTTTTTGAGCTCCCAAAGACTATTGAACCTAGATGATTGATATATATATATAATAAGGAACACGTGAATAAATTATTTTTTCAGAATTGTCTAGATGTGTCTAGATACATCTACAATTTTTTTTTATATTGGACGTGTCTTCCTTTGTATCCATAAGAAAGATTAATTGTCTTGGAATCAAAATTTATTATTATTATTTACATTTTACTCTTTACATTCAATTATATTTAACGTTAATTTAGTTTTAAGAAAATAATGATGATTTCATGGTCATATATATGCGATATTTGATTCATTCCCATTTAATATTGATTGGCACCATAAAATAGATGCTGATATTTTTTCTACGTTCGAGTAAACTTCAAAATTTTATAAATGCAGTTCTATAATGATGAATATTACACATGTAATAAAACAAATTTTAATAAATCACGTTACATTTAAACTATTATTCACGCGGGTTTTTGTACACTTCTTTAGAAGAAAGTTCCATAAAAATTGCGTAAAAGAACATATTTCTAATATAAAGAACCGACGCTCCGGGAAATCTGAAGTATGTCAACATGTTCAGTATCGTCCCAACCATTATATCAGATCTGATAGACAACGAATCCACGAAATAGAACACCGATTCCTACCAACGATGATTCACGCGGTTATTGAAATTAAAACATCCTAATTTCAATACAGAAGATGTCTGGGTGCAACGGCGGATCCAGGGGGAGGGTCATGGGGGTCATGACCCCCCCCTGAGCTGGTTCCAGGACTTATGTGGGCCACCAATTGAACATAATGATTTTATTGATATATTTTGTCACCATACAGATTTTATGTAACTACATATCTTCAATATTTAATTAATTTAATATAATATAGTATAATAATTTTGTATGATGGCAAACGTTTGGGAACGAACGTATCGAAAATTTGAATTTTACCGCGCCACACTTGCGCGCGTTTGCTGACTACGTAACGTCTAGCTAGACCTAACCTCAATCGGAATCGGAACGACTAAACTTCAACATATTATAACATAGTTCTAAGTTAAAAAACTAAAATTTCTTTCTACCTATAATGTGTTTATAAGTGTACCCTTATAAGTATTCTTAAAAATTGTTGCTGCACATTAATTAATTACAAGAAATGGTAAGTAATCAGTTTCTCATTATTCCAGTGCGTCTTTAAACTTAAATGTTATTGTTGTTAATGTTCATAAAGTACCTCATAGGTAGATATGTAGGTACCTACTTACTGAGAGTGCTGCGTGACTTATGTACCTACCTATATATTTTTTGGACGATGGAGTTTGAAGAGCATTAAGATTACTGACCTAACCTAAATTCTTAGATAAATTCACACAATGAAATCAAGTGTATCGTCGTGACCACACTGATTTTAATGCTCTTTAAAAATAAAATAAGAGAGCAACCAAGAGAGTGAATATAGCATGCATAAACTTAAAAATAATCTTGGTTAAAGTTTTTAAAAGCATCTAGCAAAAACTTCGATGCAAACTATTGCGCGACACAAAAACATTGCGCTTCATTAACAGGCAGGCATTTACAACAAGTAAATAGTAATCTACCTACCTACTGCTTTTTACTTTATTTGTATATTACAGATTTCTAAAAACTATAAAATATTAGAGAACCTGAAATTGTTTTGCTTGTTTAACACTATATTTACCTAAAGTAAATAGGTATTACCTATTCGATGTAAGGTCTTTATGGAAAATGCAGTGAACTGTAAAACTACCTGTATTATTATGTTTTTACGTACTTATAACTCATATGTTTACAAAAGCTTGTTGTCTGATGTGGGGTGTGAAATTTGCATGGTTTTGCTTTGTTTGTGAGGTAATGAGGCTGCGCCACCAGCCTGTACTATAGCGAATGTGGGTGTTTTATGTATATATATTTAATATGTATTTGCAACAGTCTGTTGTCTGTTGTGGGGTGTGAAATTTGCATGGTTTTGCTTGTAGGGTGATTCTAAGGGAAACGGAGATGGTAGTGGTGGATTGAAACGTTAATTAAAAAAAATAGATTCATTTTTCCCAAGGAAACCAAGGCTTGAGATTGCTCACTCGAAAAATTCACCTACAATAACTACAGATGAAAATAATTGTATTGCCGATGCTTCTGCTTCTACAGCTACATTGCCTACATTAACCATAGATGAAGAAAAAACATGCTCTCCTGTTACTAACGATATTCAGCCTACAATATGTACATCTACTTCTGATTCTGATCAGAAAAAGACTTCACTTTCTCAACCAAAGTTTGCTCCAGATATTGCTTGTTATATAGGAGAAAATATAGATGATTCAACTAAAACTATGTTGCTTGAAAAGCATTGGCAGCCTCCCCCTAATTATACTTTCCCGCATTGTGTTGTTAATAAAAAAGGAAAACAAACAAAAAATATGCTCAGAAGTCTCACCTTGGCAAGTTTCACTGCCTTTTTTTTTCGCATAAAGATCAGGGTCTTTACTGCAAGTACTGTGCTTTGTTTGTCGTAGCTCCTGGAGGTGGTATACAGACAAAAACACCTTTATATCGACTCGTAAAAGAACCATTAAAAGCTTTCGATAATTTGCTAGGTGAAAATGGTGTTCTGCTAACACACCAGCGAAACAAATACCACGAATTAGCTGTCGAAGCAGGGAAGAACTTCTTATTGAGTTTTCATAAACCGGAAATTAACATAATGAACCAAGTAAATAGTCAAAGACTGAAACAAATAAATGAAAATAGAGAACGCTTGTGACCAATCGTAAAAATTATAATATTTTGTGGCCATCAAAACATATCGTTACGTGGCCATCGCGACGATGGTAAAGTAACCGATGAAGGGAATTTTAGAGCCCTTTTAAAATTCTGTATTGATTCTGGCGATATTGCATTGCAGCAACATTTAGAATCTTCAAAATCTAATGCCACGTACATCAGCAAGACTGTACAAAATGAGTTGATAGATGTTTGCGCAGAAATCATCCAGGAAAACATTTTACAGAATGTGCGGGAAGCTAAATATTTTTCAATTTTGTTCGATGAAACAACAGATATATCACATATCTCACAGCTGAGTCTATCATTCAGATATTTGCATTATGGTATTATTAAGGAACATTTTGTGACTTTTTGTGATACCTACGATGCTCTTAGACGTGAAGACAACAATTCAGGTGACATAGAAACTCGATTGACAGGTGTAGCATTGGCGAAAATCGTTGTAAATCTGTGTACCAAATTTAACTTAGATTTATCTTGGTGTGTGGGTATTGGAACTGACAGCTGCTCGGTTATGGCATCAGATACAAAAGGTGCAGTGCAAGAATTGATGAAAATAGCCATTCATGCTAAACGTTGCCCGTGCAACAACCATGTGTTCAATAACTCATTGGCAAGATCATCCAAAGTAGTTTCCTGTTGCAATACATCTGGCAC